CGACGTAGACGATGACGCCCATCAGGTCTACATGGACAGCGACATGGCCTCTGTCCCAGGGATGACCCGCTTTTCGAGGGCGCACCAACATGGATTTAGAGGTCTGTGGCATGAGAAACAATCGACCCTTTTAGTTCGTTTCTAATTGTATACCTTGACCCGGCGGGAATTTATCCTTCAATCCTCACATATCCCTAGAGTCTCTTTTGATTCAGTAGGTCCCTCATATCGTGGGATCCTTGGGCTTTCCGGCATGGAGTTTAGGATTCAGGGATGAGGGGTTGTTTAGACTCTTTGCTTGCTTCGCTACGATGCTGCCGTGTGTGCCCACCGGAAAGAGGTGTTAGGAGCTAATCAGGGTTGTAGCAGATTTAGTGTAGTTTACTACGGCATGTCCATTCAGGGGTCAAGGGTCAGGCTCAAGGATAAGTTCGTGGCAGGTGTGTGGTTAAGATGTGAAGTTTTCAGAAGGTTGCGTTTGTGTTCTGGAGGTCTGATCTACTGCTTCTGGTTTGGCTTCTGGTTTGGCTTCCGATTCTGGGTTTAGGGCTCAGGCCTTTGCAACAAAATCAAAAAGCCCTCAGGCCGAAACTCCATAAGCCCGAAGCCCCGAACCCGATCTCCACAACACCCAACCCTAAACCCTAAACCCTAACCCTGAACACCTCCGAACTCCGAACAAAGGGATGAGGAACGCAAGGGTTTAGGGTTTTGGGGGGGAGCTGGGCTTTTGAGCTGAGGTCATGACACAAAACAGCGATGATCTCTGTGATGCACCAGAGCTCTCAGCCGCCGTGGCCTCAGATGGAGACGTAGACACTACGGTCTCCTCGGCTCCACAGGGTCATAGTTCATAGGCTGATTGTTACAGGGCTTAGGGCTACAACTTATCGCGTCTGGGGCTCAGGGCTTTTAAGCTTCACAATGTCTTGGCTACATGGGGTGCAAGGTTTTGGGCTTTGGGTTTGCGAAATCCTGCATCCACAGCCCCTCAGATATTGCAGGCAAGCCGGATCAGAAGCTCAGAGGAAGCCCTAGACCCGAACTCAACCCTCATCCCTGGACCTCATTGCACCCTAAAACCTAGACCCTAAAACCTAAACCCTAAACACTAAAATCGAAACTCCTAAACTCCTAAATTCTACACCCCTAAACCCCACCTTATTTCACCCTAAGCCCTAAACCCTAAAACCGAAAACCCCCAGCGCGGAACCCAAGCTTCGTCCTGAAGCCACGGCGTTTTAAGGCTCGAGACCTGGGCGCCAAGCCTGTCGAAGAAGCAGCTGTGGGGAGCCCAGGACATGCCCGGACCGTCCAATATCCCTTAATCAAGGGCTTTGTAATTATGTATATAGTATATGACTATACTTACACACACATATATACACACACATGTATATGCATATATATTTACATATACATATATACATACATATATATATATATATATATATACACACCATATATATATATATATATATACACATATATATATATAAGTATATGTATATATGTATATTTGTATATGTATATGTATATGTATATGTATATGTATATGTATATGTATATGTATATGTATATGTATATGTATATGTATATGTATATGTATATGTATGTATATATATATATATATATATATATATATATATATATGTACGCATAGGTACTATACTCCCGAAGATACAGCGAAAGATGTGTTATGTTGCAAATTTTGCCATAGTACCAAGTTCTGCATAGCTGTTGGCCGTGTTCACGGCAGTGATGGAAACAGAGACCGCGGGCAGTGGTTTGCGGTGTTCTTCTGGGTACTCCTGCCATTCCCAAAATGGAAATGTTGCTTAACTCCTTAGAATGGATGGAACAAACCTTTCAATCAGTCTCAAGGATCCCATTCCAACAGCACTTGCAAGACTTAAATGTAACCGTATGGGGAACCCTACAAATTACTAACCCCGTTTCAATGCTTCTGGGGACGCTTACAGAACCCTGAGCCGCAGCCCCACAATCCGAATGTTCTAAAGCCCACAGAATCCTAAACTCCCAGACCTGAAAGCATCTAAGCCCCTAGACACCCAAAATATTTAAACCGCTATACCCTAAAACCCGAAAGCCCGAAAGCCCCAATGCACTAAGAACACTTAAGGGAGCCCTAAAAATGTAGGCCCCAAACCCCCAAACCCCTACACCCTTAAGCCCTAAAGCCCCAAACCCCCAGACCCCTAAAGCCCTGAGCTCCTCAACCTCAAGGCTGGCCACATTCAGGACTTCAACGCGGGCCTCATGGTTCTCAGTCCTCAGGAGGCCGTTCTGAAAATGCGGGGTTTAGGGTTTAGAGTAGGAATATAGAGCAGGAACATGAGGTTTAGGGCTAGGATAGGAATATAGGGCTGAGAGTTTAGGGTATGAATGTGGGGTTTAGAGTTTAGGTTAGGAATATATGTAGGGCTCAGGGTTTAGGGCTCAGAGGCCGTTTGGGGAGGGTTCGATTAAGTCGTCGAATTTGCATTTTGGAGGGCTCGGCTTGGGACGTCCCAAACCCCCAACCGCAAAACCCTGAAATGCTAAACCCTGATTTGGCCTTCGGGTTTTGGAGCCATGGGGCCATGGGAGTGTGGAAGGGCAGAGTCGACTTCAATGGTTCCGACCCCACTTCCCAAGCCATGGACTGAAACCTTTTGCAATTGGGGCCCCTGTAAGTTGAGACTATCGGGGGAGTTTTACCTTAACCCTAAACCCTAAAACCCTAAATTGTCATAGGGACCTACGAAAACAGTAGGTCGGTTCACCCCATTCGAGCCAAGCAGTTCCAGCAGGGCCGGAGACTCCCCAAACTCGCCAAAAAAGGCTTAGGTAGCTGAGTAGGTAACCTTTAACACTTTTGGAGCTTGGATAATGCTACCAGAATTGAAAAATGTCGCCTTTTCTAAACTGTTGAACCTTTTGAAGTCCAAGTAATGCTACCAGAATTGAAAAAGAGAGCTCGGGTTCTTCCGATTTCGAAGCCGGCAGGGACGCCTAAAGCCCGAGCCCCAGGCCCGTGAAGCTAAGGGTCCATTGCATCAGCTTCTGCAAGTTATAGTTATAATTTCTGATTATTACGAATGTTCATTATTACTATGATGATTGCTAAGATTATGACTATCATGCTTATTGTGAGTTTTTTTTGTGACGATGGTGAAGATTATCATTACTATGGTGATGCATTTGTTGTTCTTATTATATGATACTGTTGTATAGTACTGCATCTACCCACAAGCCATATTGCAATAGCTAAGGGCCCTATACTGAGCCTCTTCAGCTAACTGCAGGCAACTTTCCAGAGACTGTTGGATCTGGCTCCCTTGGTGGGCAGCGGCCTTGGTTGAAGCTTTCGAAAGCCGTTGTTCAGACTGCCAGGGTTTCCCCTAAGGGTCCAACCGATCCAATAATTAGGTACTCTGCTTTACGATAGTAGTTATGTAGGTTAGGATTTCGGAGATTATATGATTATTAGGTACTTGGACTCTTGGGGTTTCGAAAGGGTTCAGCAGCATCTACAGGGGTTTTGCGTACAGGGCCTGCCTTAGGGGACTTTGGGCCTTTGGGGTTTCGGGCTCACTTCGGTTCAGGATTCAGGGCTCAGGTATTGTTTCGGGGAGTAGGCACCAACCCAGCTCCCACCGGGTTGAAGCCAGAATCAATCTCACCTGGAAGCCATCAAAGGCGAGTTCACGAAAGTGTACCGGGTTTAGGCTGTAGGGTTTAGGACTCAGGTGTTTGGGGTTTAGGGCCCTGTAAGTCCGTACATATTGATGGGTTCTATAGAATTACATTCCTCACGGTGTAACTACCTGTGAAGGGGAGGTGCAGTTGCGCTTGTAGAGCAGTTCGGGCCACCATGCTTGCACATGTCTTATGACATCAACCTCCTTCCATAACATATCCTTGCACGGGTTCGTGGTTATAAGCCCAACCGAAATTAATATAGACTTGTGCGAAGGATGTTCCGCAGCTGGAAGTTGGCAGAGAGTGTCCATGTACAGTCTGGCAATACAGCATAAGTTTGTCTCTTGGGGGCCGCACGACTCAGTATTCAGGAGACTCCTTCTTTCTTGGGGATCCCCTCTCTAACTTACCAGGATACCGATGCATTACTATTTACTATACAAATCCGTATTCTGGCAACTTGAAATAAAGTCTTATCAAGAACCAAGCTGTATGTGACGTCCCGATTATGGAGTGAAGTTAAGTTTTCTTAGCAAGAGCGCAGTCCTTGGGGATCCCCTAAACCTTCAACCCTGAACCCCTAAACCCTCAAACTCCTTAAATCCTAAACCCTAAACCCCATAACGCTACTAAAACCCTACAACCCAAACCCCTAAAACCCTAAACCCTAAAACCCCTAAACCCCTACTAAAACCCTACAACCCAAAGCCCTAAAACCCTAAACCCTAAAACCCCTAAACCCCTACTAAAACCCTACAACCCAAAGCCCTAAAACCCTAAAAGCCTAAACCGGAGAGCGGATCTCTCAAGCAGACTGACCTTAGGCAGTGCTTCCGGTGGCGTGCAGCCGCTCTTGAGCCGGAGCCTCGCTACGCAAAGCTTGCTCTTTAGGGTTCTTAGGGCTGTTAGGGTTTCGGGGTTCCCAGGGGTGTAGGGGTTTCAGGTTTTTGGGTTTAGGGTTGCAGGGATTGAAGGGAAAGGGGTTTTTGGGGTTTTTGGGGTTTCGGGGTTCTTAGGGTGGCTGGGGTTTGGGGGTTTGGGGCTTAGGGTGCTAGGGGTGTCTACATAGGGGTTTAGGGTTTTTGGGGTTTAGGGTTGCAGGGGTTTAAGGTTTAGAGGTTTTAGGGGGTAGGATGCTGAAAGAAGGGACGCTGCAGCTTTGCTATAATGTGCATGCTGACCGGCATCGGTGCTTATGCTGTGCATACCCTCGGCCGCAATCTCTTATTGGCACAGGCATGGTGAGGCAAATCAAGCAAGTTTGCCCCGACTGCGGCACTCCTCCTTGCGCTGGCATGTCTAGGCTACTCCTGCAGTGCTTGCTTCTGTGGCCGTCACTTGTTGCATCGCTGCAGATTGCCATCTCCAGTTTGGAGCAGAAGGCAGCCGCCTCTGTGAATGTCGCGACGACGCCGTGTCACCACAGGCAGATCCCAGGCAGTAGCGTGATGACTTCCGTGGACTTCGATCCAATTCTAACGGAGGAATTGAATTTGCGGAATTTGAAGAATGTCGCTCGTCTCCCGGGCAATGCCGAGTTGCTCGTGAAGGCTATGCAGCAGGACACACTGGTGAAGCAGCTTGCGATCAACAACCCCGTCCTGGCGCATGTGATCAGCAGCCCTGATGCATTGAAGAAGATGGTCAGCCAGGAAGTTTTGGGCAAAGTGCGCTGCGGCCAGGTATCCGATGAAGCTTCAGTGCAAGCCGTCCTGGACCTGGCACTCACAAAGCCAAGCATCACTGCACTTGAGCCAGAACCCCCGACCCTTGCCAGTTTGGTGGAGAGATCGAGGCAGACGCAGACAGGGAACTCCATCGGCCCCACGTCAGAAAACTCCGATATGCTTCTGGACGCGGAACTTCAGCGTCTGAACGAGTTGAACTATATCTACGCTGACTTGTTGCGTTCCTTCTGGCAGATTGTCCTGACACTCGAGGCTGCCAAGCTGGTCATTATTGCCATCTAGCAGGCCAGCATTTCGTGAGTTCAGCTCGATGTTCACTGTGCCGACTGTGCCCCAAGCGGTGCGCACAGAATCAGAATGAACCCAAGCAGCCCAGCAGATCCAGTGGAAAAGCGATTGCCACGGGCTTGTTGAAGCTGTCAACATTGACCACCTCGGCCGTTTGTAGAGGATGTCAGTAACACGAACAACGGCTGACGCAATGGTAACAATAGGTGTGTCAGACCCAGTATACCTTGACCACTTCGTTCAATGGTCTGCAACTGCCTAATTAGTGCCTTCATAGCTTATAACCAGAACTTGGCAGCAGCTCCTGTAAACAATCCGGAATGCGAGCGAAAGCATTATTATGACGAACTGCAAAGTGAGTAGCCTAAACCGTAAAGCCTGAACCCTAAAGCCTGAACCCCAAAGGCATGTCATCAGCCTCGACAGAACATGATGCATCATTCAGCTGTGGTGCCTATGGAGATGCTGGAAGTGTCGTAACAAGAATCGCCTTCAATAAAATATAGCATTCAACACATTGTAACTTATAGCAGAATATGACATTCTTACATAATATACTATAGTATAGTACAATATCTAATCTAAACTAGAATGTAATGTGTATATATATATATATAGAGAGAGTAGAACACGAAATGATATGGGGCCAAAGTCCTGTGCCGTTCTTCACTCAGGAGCGGCCTTCCCGGACTTTAATGCATTGGACCACTTGCAGGACAATGCCCGGTGCTCGTCTTTTTGGGGTTGAAGGTTTTAGGGTTTAGGGTTTTAGGGTTTAGGGTTTTAGGGTTTAGGGTTTAGGGTTTTAGGGTTTAGGGTTTGAGGTCTTCTCGAGTTGAGGTTTAGGGGTGTTTCGGACCCAGGGCACTCAGCTCATGCTCGCGAAAACCCTCACCCCCGTCATCATCATGGGCATAAAGCCTGTGGTACAAATGTTGTTTGTAATATTTTTTTGGTGGGAACGGTTTTGATGTCTGCTTTGCTGCTGCTTTTGCTGATGCTGGAAAAGACGATGACGGTGGCAGTGTGATGAAGATGAATGGCGTCAAGTTGTTGTTGCAGTTGCATTGTTGCTGCAAGCTTGAGATACTTTAAACTAATCCCCAAACCCTGTCCGCCTTTCAGCGACTTTTCTGGTTCGACTGCATGCTTTCCAACAGCCTTCCGGTATGGCAAAATCGCGCAGAACCTGGAGGCAATCCTTCTAGAGTTTAAGCCGGTTCTAAAACATTACCTCCTCTAGCAATCCCCACCAGTCATGGTGAACCTTACACGGCCCCTTGTAGTATCTTGTCCTTCCCGTCTATAGTAATCAAAAGACAGTAACCTTTGGTGCTCCTATGGTAACGTCTGTAGCCTAATTGTGACGTAGAAGCTTAATCAAACAAGTTCCAAAAGCATTCCTTAGGGTTCCTGTTTGTTTTTGAACTGTAAGAGAGCCCAAAACCCCATTCTAATTGTTAAGGCCCCTGCATTAGGCCTGTGACTTTAAACCTCAAAACCCTAAACCCGGCCCGACACCCTAAACCCGAAAACCAAAACTTTAAACCATAATCCCTACACCTATACAAGTGACCCAAGCTTAGAGGACTAAACCCCCGCAGTCGTCCGAACCCTAAAGCCCGAAAGCCCCAACCCCAAGACCCTGAAGCTCTAAGCCCCAAACGCCCCAAACCCTGAAGGCTTCAAGCTCTAACCGTTCCTACACCCTCCGCCCGTAATAGTCCCAAAAATCAACAGGGACCCTAACGTAGAGAACTAACCCCCCCCCCCGCCAGTAGTCCTAAATCCTAAACCCATAAACCCTTAACCCTGAACCCAAGCCCTAATTAGCGTTACAGTATTCCGAAATTTCAGCAGATCCGCCCCCCCCTTCAGTAGTCCTACATCCTAAACCCCTAAACCCTAAACCCCTTCAGTAGTCCTAAGCCCAACAGATCGGAGGTCAATGCCCGAGTCTACGACTTGAGCCGATCGTCCTGGGACATGCGTCGAGCCTTTTCCTCAGCGGCTGGGGGTTTTATATTAGGGTCTGCAGGGTCTAGGGGTTTAGGGGTTTTGTGTTTTCGGGGTTTGGGGCTTAGGGTTTAAAGGTGTTTGTGGTTTCGTAGTTGTTTTTATGTTTTTTTTGTTTTTAGGGTGTCTGGGGTTTAAGGGTTTAGGGTTTGTTCGGGGTGCTTTTTGGGTTTAGGTTTGGGGTTTTAGGGGGTTGAGGGTGTAGGGTGTTTTGGGGATTCAGTGGTTGGGGCTTCGGTGGTTTCAAGGGCTTCTAGCTTATATGGCGTGGCTTATAGCCCCGAATCCTTATGAGGTCTCGGGTTCTCTTTTCGGGGTTCTTGTACGACTTAAACCCTTAACCGTTCATTCTTTGAAGCAAGCAACAAATCGACACCCCGACCTACATGCTAGCAAGTCCTACAACTGAGGTCCATCTTTTCACTGCTAGTTACGTGTGCTGGTGTTAGAACTCATCATCGCTATGTTTGAGCTTCAGGGAAGATGCAGCCCGTTCACAGACCATGGGTATCATGGGAGAATACTGATTCTGATTTTGACGCTGATGGGTATGACCGATATAGAGGTTGAGTTTGAGTATGTAATTGAATAGCTATCAGCAGTCGTAAGGTGTGCCGCTTGGGGCTTACAGGTTTAGAGTAATTCGAGACGGCTGCAACTCACGCAAACCTATGTGAATGTAGAATATTAGTCACAACATGCTCAAATCGCCCAAGCTCTTTAAGCTGCGTGCTACATCGTAGATCCCAATACCTTGATTCCGAGAACCCTTGATTCCGAGAAACCATGGCCCCCCGTGCCCCGTACATCCCAAAACCTGGGGACCGACCTGAACCCCAAGCCATTCACCCTGAACCCATCGGGGTTAAAGGTTTAGGGTTTAGGGCTTAGGGTTTAGGGTTTAGATTTAGCCAAAGAGCATAAGATTAGGAGGGGCTGTATGGGGATAGTATTGTAGGAACCTGATTGAGAAACCTTGGTCTTCTAACCCCAATATAGTAGCATTCACAATACGGAACCCTAATAATACAGGCCCAAGGCTTCTTGATCAGGTTCCTACATTAATACTAATACAAATACTTATATAATAGTCACACTAATATCAGTGCTCATACGGATACCCAACCACAGACTCTGGCACTGTCCAGAAGAACCCGAGATTCAGAAACCCGGAACCCGAATCACAAAATCCTCAATCGCTAAAGCATAAACCCCTAAACGGCAAATCCCAAAGCCCCAAGCCTGCATCCCGTTAACCCCGAATCCCCGAACCGCTCAACCCCTAAACCCACAAACCCCAAATGGGAGTTTCCGAAAAAAAAGCGGACCCTAATATGGTACCTTAAGTAGTAGGATCCTTTTTTCATGGACCCCAATATATGGTACCCCCGAATTTTCGGAAACTCCCAAATCCCAAAAGCCCCGAAATCTCCAAACCCACAGCAGCTCGAACTCAGATTCGGTCGATCCACTACACTGGACCGCTGAAGTTGCATCCCAAGGTTTCAGGGTTTTGGGGGAAGGTTTTGGGGTTTGGGTTTCAAGGGGTCCTTTAAAGGAGCTACCGGGGTTCTATAGGGGTTCTGAGGAGTTCTATATCGTTTAGGTTTATGTGCTGTTTAGGGTTTAGGATTTTAATGTTTTAGGGTTTAGGGGTTTTGGGTTTAGGGGCTTAGGGTTTACGGTTGACAGCGGTTTAGGGTTTAGGGCAAAAGGTTCAACGTGACCGTGCCTTAAAAGGACAATTACGGGCCTCTTTGTGTGATCCCCATGCCCTCCTTGCCACGCGACGGTTTACGTATCCGGGGTCAAAATAATAAGAACGGTTTTTTTTTGGGGGGGGTCCTGATTATCATTATAGTATAATATATTCCCCAAACCCATTCTAGTTCTTAAGCCCCTACAGTACGTATCAGGGGTCCACGTAGCCAAGCCAAAGAGCCCTGAACCCTGAACACGCAGCTATGGGTTTAGAATCCGGATCTTGCAGAGTCTTAAAGTAGCCTTGGGTCTTCAGCATATCCGGATTGGAGAGACAAGGGGCTTCAGGGTTACCTTGTCATAGCTGGGTAACATTTTACATTTTATCGATACTTAGACCCAATAAGGAATGAACATGTAAATGTTTAATCCTATCCCAACCATGAACTGGTTACTTCCAGGATTCAACGAAGGTTGAGTAGTTAAGGATATCACCCTGGGCTGGGGTGTAAGACTTCGGGTTTAGGGGTACCTTAGGCCCTCAGCCCTGAACCGCTATACGAGGTATCGATTTGAGATAAATTTAGTTCCCCTTATTGCTTCGCATGGATCCCTAGCTACCATTGGAGAAAACGGTCGAGGCATGGTGTGTGGGGATAGAGGGACCCAAGTTGTTGTCTGGCTACGGTAACAGCTTCGCGAGGATGGCGGCTTTCTAACGGACGCGGAGGCGTACAAGCTTCTTTGCGACCTTGGCTCCGACATTGGGGAATCTGTGTTCAGAGACATACACCCAGGGTCCAAACGGGCGACAAGAAGCACCTCGCGCTGGTGTTGGGCTTGCGGTGCTGGGAGAACAAGTACACTTTTGCAGATGCGGACCGGCTTCCACCCAGTATATGTGTGTGCAGATACCCTAAACCCTAAACCCTATAGAGCTTAAGCCCTAAACCCTAAACCTTAAACCCGAAACCCTAAACCAGATACCGTGACGTTGTGTCTGGGAGCGACTTTCAGAGTGCTACCTGCTATGCGGCTCTATGATAGTAGCACGCGGGTCTGAAATATCTTGGGGTTGTACCGGGTTTTTGCAGGGTTCGACACGACAGAGGTTTGGCGTCTAGGGACTACGGATCTGTGTTTCGAGTATGTCCAGAACTTCAGGTCCAGCTTGTTGAGGAACTGTGTTCATAGGGAGCCGAAAGAGAGAACAAGTCGGCGTCGATTCTGACACGCTACTCAGCGGTGAAGACAGGCGTGCCTAACCTCCGAACATG